CACTTTGAATATGAATTTGTGCTTCTCAGCACTCTAAGTAGCTGATTAGGGGAGGGAGTAATATTCTACTTGATTATTGGTTACACATATAGAATAAATCCTATTTTAATGGTGTCTAATGAGCCTTTCATTTTCAGAACCTTACACAAAAGCTTCTAATAGAAAGGGAAAGTAATATTTCAAAGGTCATGTTAATGCCACTTAATGTCAACAATCTGTAATCAAGCCAATATATATAGATGGTGATTACAGTTCAGTTGTGATCCTTTAAATATGAAATAATCTCCTAAATTAGCGAAGTGATGCAAGCTAGGGTTCTCTGGGTTTGAGGCAACTTATACTTTTTAATTAAAGTTGGTTACTTGAAAACAGCCACAGAGTTAAAAGAGAGATTTCTCAGAGTGAGGCTTCATGCAATGCAGTATTTCAAAATCCATGAGATTTAAAGTTCTTTCACTTACAGTTTCATGTTTTGTTCTCCTATGTGTCTGTAAAGCCACTGAAATGTGCAGATGGAAAATGATGCCTGCCCTCCAGGGCTTTTTCTCAACAGGGGAATGTAATGGGCACTAGAAATGTGGGACGTTGGGGTGGTCAGGAGGCCACTGAGGGAGCTTATAGTCACATCTGCCTGGCACCAGATTAAATAGTGGGGAGTTTAAAGAAATTCTAGTATGAGAATGGCATTCTGAGATCTTGTCCCATTTGCTGTGCTAGTGGAGATAACCGTGCCTTCCCCTGGACCAAAGACGTTCCTGTGTCTAGTCTAGAGCTGCTGCTAGTTCATATGACTCTTGTCCCAGTTAGAAATGGGTCAATTCCGAGAGACACTTCGCTTCTGTTGGGATATTTTCTTAAGAAAATTGACAGTGACTACAATAAATGGCATTCCTGAACTCACTGGCACACTACTGTAGCATCAGAATCTTCTGGAGGGCTTGTTAACGCTCCAACGCAGGGTCCCTGGCCCCAGGGTTTTTGTTCTGTAAGTTTGAGGTAGGCCAGAGAATTTGTATTTCTGACAAGTCCCCAGGGCATGTTGCCAGTCCAGGTACCACATCTTTGAGAATCACTGCTCAAGGTTCATCAGTTTATGACCTGCCCAGACACACACACTGCTTTGCTTCATCTTCCCATAGGTGAAGTTTGAGTTTTATTCATCTTGTTCCGCCCAGGGCCTAACACCTAGTGCCGTACTCACAGGGCGCACTCCGTATTTGTTGGGGAGGCGGGGAGAATGCTAGTTAGATGAAATTACTAATGTTTATCAGACCCCCTTTCACACCGTCACGCCCCTCCCACATTACCACCCTGCGTTTGTCTCTCGTTTGTGTTTGGTTTCTCCTCCTTCTGCTGTCTTGCTGGATTCTGAGTTTGTTGTTTTTCTGTTGTCTTCTCATAAAGGGCTTGTGTTTGAACTACAGCAACATCAGGCCTGTTAATCTAGTTGTGTGTCACTGGAGCCTCGGTGCCTGGTGCCATAGCCAGCCCGGGTAGGAGAGGGCCAAAGACTAGGAGGCTGGTCAATTTTTGTGTAGGGCTTGATTGGTGGCAGTGATATGAGCAGTCAGGTGACAATTGGAACCTTAAATCTTAGGACAGACCTTGAACTTTAGGAACCTCAATGAAAAAACATTTGTCAGAACCAATGAAATACTCCTCCAGTAGTCCTTGCTTCCCTAAGTTTAGATGTTCATTAAAGATTTGGAAAACATGAAAAAATAGTATTAAGGCAAAGAGGTAGCCATTGGCCCAAATAGCTAAAGCTTTCAGTTTTGGTATTTTGTAACCATCTTTTGTAGTTCTACTTAAATGTTAGTTTGTTTTTTAATTCATTTGCATTTAATTGAATTTATAACTCGAGGGGTAAAATTGCCTGAGGGAGAAGAAATTCTTGGGTTGAATTAGAGGGTTATTCCCTTAATGAATGATAATGATTCATTACAAAGTTGTTTGCTTTCAAGTTTCATTCAGGCACCATTAGATGGATGAACAGCACCTCATTCCTCTTGCAGAATTGTTAGTGTGGCAGGTTCACTCAGATGTGCTGCCCCATGTATACCTGACAGGCTGGGTGTTAGGTCTCCCCACTGAGCCATTTGTTAATTCTTCAGTGCCTGATTTTACTGGTCTTGAGTTCATGGTTTTTTCAAGTGAATTTCTTAAATAAGAGTGAGCATGTGGTGTATATTGAGCCACAAAGTACATTATATTGCTTTTCTTTTGCCTTTATTCGTACAACCCCTTCGCTCTTAATCTTTTGCCTTGAAAATACTATTATGCCCAGTACAAGTAATACAAATTATGTTGTCTTCTGGCCTTTCTTGTTACAGAGGAAACATCTGAAATCAGCTGGATCTTCATGATTTATAGATAATCTTTTTTGTTGTCATTTTCAGTGTGGGTGCTCATATTTTCCTCCATCTTTGCTATTTAAAAATTGTCAGGTTATTCTGAGATGTAGTTCATTTTCACTGGCTAGTTTAGAATGTAGCGAGCCCCCTTGGATTTTTGATTATTGCTTCTGCCAACAGTAATAATAGCAATTAGTTGACTTTTTTTTGTTTTTGGAGAGGGGTCTAGGGTGGGAGATAGAGAAGGGGAGAAACAGCAATGTATGGTTTCCACTCAGGTTCCCACTACTGGAGTCCTGGCCTACAACCCAGGCATGTGGCCTTAGTGGGAACCAAACCAGCGACCCTCTGGTTTGTAGGCCGGCACTGAATCCACTGAGCCATGGCAGCTGGGGCTGCAATTAGTTGACTTTTAATTCAACATTTAATTGGTCATTTACTTGGACATTTAACTAGAGAGATGCTAGTCTATGTCCAGTTTGTGTCTGATCCAGTGGACAGTTTGAATTAGTTCTAGGACATGTCTGAGATCCTTCTAATCACTGTACGGGGTCTTGTTTGTCCAATGTTCACAGAAACCTCATTAATCTATTCTCAAGTGGTTCCCCACTCCCATGTTGGTGCCAAAACAATGCAGCCTTCTCTCTTACCAAGACCTGGGGACTGTAGGAGGGAGTGGGTGCTGGGGCCTACCCAGGTCTCCGGTATTCACCCCTGGAACTGGCCACAGAATGGTGTCCACCCTACGAAACAGCCTTGCTATGAAGTAGGCTACAAGCTTGATGTGTTTAAAACCACAGGCTCATTTTAGACCTAAGTGTGTTCTACCAAGTGATTCCAAGTAAAATAATCTGTGCTCCAGGAGTTTGCTCTAAGTCATCATTCAGAGAAAACCTTAAAAACAGATATTTGATCAGCAGAGGCCTCTTAGCTATGAATTGGGGCTTAACTTTGAGCCCCCTTATTCTTAAATTTGGGACCCATTTGGAAATCTGTGGAAATAAGCTACTTAATTCCTCTTTCTCTTTAGAAACATAGCAGTATATCTTTCACTCTGATGAAAAAGTAGTTGCCTTCGTCAGCAATCATCTTCTGTTCAGGCTAAATTTGTTTTTATGTGAAATAGAAATCAGGAAAACACCAAAATTATTTTAAGCAAAATATCAAAATTGAAATAAACCAACATATGTCTGTGAAACATGTATAACTCTCAATCAAAAATATGTGCAACTTTCATAAATTTCTTAAAATACTTCAGCATGCAAAATCTGGACAACTTAAATAGATGGAGTTATGGCATGTTTGGTTATTCTTTCTCATTAGCTCATCCTTTACTTAACCATAAAAATTCAAATAACCAAAACCTGGCCAGCTCTGGATTATCCCTCATGAACAATGTACTCCATCATCTACTGTAATAAGCAAGAGAACCAAGGAGTTTAATGAAACATCTTGAAGGTTAAGTTACACCTGCTAATTTTGAATGGAAACCCATCTTGTGTTTATCATCTTAACTTAGATTTTGTCCTATCCACACTCCTCCTCACACACACGTTCCTCTCTAAGAAGTGAGGTTTCTTAATTGTTTTAAACATACTATGCTTTGTCCTGGTTAGTTTTTTTTTCCCTATTCGTACGCTTCTTTTTCAGTAAGAACTCAAATGGTATTAAAACTGTCAAGGTGACAAATATTCTGGGGCTTAGCACCAATGAGAGAGTTAAAGGGTAAATGCCCATCTCACCTTTATGCTTCATTTATAGTCTTTCTCTAACGCATTTTCTTCGTTAGATTATCACTTCAAGGATTGGACTCACTTTGACTGGCTGATATTTTGCCTACAGAACGCATTATGTAAAAATTACCACCAATAAATATTGTTGATAAACCAATGAAGTATTTCTTGAAATTGTCAGTCTTTAATTTTCAGTTCTTCTCTTCTTGAACTAGGTAACCAAATGTCTTTTAAAAAATATAAACAAATAACACTATCACTTTATTTGGAAAATGATTTATCATTAAATGAATTGTCTTTCAGTACCTTCTTTTGAAAGAATGTTTAAAAACTTTATCTCATTAGGCTTGGCATCACCCTTAAAAAGTTCAACTTTCTGTGAGTTGGAAATAAAGTTAAGCGAGTTTATGATCGTCATAATTCAGTGATACATACCTTTTTCTTCTTGAACTCTTGGATCTTCAATTCACTTTTCTTCTTATGCATCACTCTGATTTTTCTTGTTAGTTTATTAGTTGTAAAAAGTTTCTTCCTTCCTGGTTCCTTCAATTTAGACCAATTTGGATATGGAAAAGTGTGTTAATTTTTTAATAAATCTTTAAGACACGCATTACTGTATTTTTATTAACTGAGCCAGATGGCTCACAGTGAATTTTCTCTGACACAAGTAATCACAGGAATCAGTTTAGGACCCAAATCTGGTACAGAAAGTGGCATGTGTAGTCAATGGAAAAAAGCAATTCGCATAAACATATCGATATATTTAGAAGTAATATTTGTTACTATTTGGATTTTATTTTATTTTTTGTTTTAGACTAAATACAAACTAAGAACATTTTTTTTCTATCCCTCAAACGCAGGCATTCAAGGTCCTTCTCAATAACCCAATGTTGTTTTGTTTTGTTTTTTGCAGTTTGAAGGTTGCAAGAAGGCATTTTCAAGGCTTGAAAATCTCAAGATTCACTTGCGGAGTCACACTGGCGAGAAGCCATATTTGTGCCAGCACCCGGGCTGTCAGAAGGCGTTCAGCAACTCCAGTGACCGCGCCAAACACCAGAGGACGCATCTGGACACTGTAAGAGAGGCAGGAGCTTTCCAACTTTCAGCTTGAAGCCCCGGTGTGAGGAAGTGCCCTTTTGATAGTGGGATGGTGAAGGTGTTTGCTTTATGGTTGCAGGTTATAGGGACAAATGCCAAAGGCAGCAGCGGAACCTGGTAAAGGGCCAGAGGGGCCCTGTTTGACTCTTTCCTCATTTTTCTGTAGCCGTGAGTATCCTGAGTATGATAGCTGTCTGGGACAAAGGGGTTCTTTGGTGACATCTACATACAAAGCCGAGGCAGTTTATGGGTCGTCCTAGAGTGGATTTTAGGCCAGAGAATGACCAGTACAGATTGGGCGTTAAAATTAATATTCAAATATCAAGATATACAGAGATACACAATATACAGGGAGGGGCAAATGTAGGTTTACAGTTGTGAGTAGGCAAAACAGAATTTGTATTATTATTTATTATTATATTATTTTCCAAATGAACAGCTATAAACCTACTTTTGTTTTGTTTTATTACTCTGCTTCTTTTCCTCTGGACATAAAAATATGGAGGCTAGCATGATTTTTGAAAGTAGATCTGGACTTTTGCTTTGGAAACCAACTTGTATTGTCACCCTTAAGTAATATAAAAAGAATCAGCAACTCCTTCCCCAGGGTTCAGTTTCATCAGCCTTTCTATGTGTTAACAGCCACATAGCCATTGACATAAATCCTATTGAGAACAATTGATTTTCATTATCACAAACTTTAACTCTCTTAGAGCTGTAACGTTTTGTTCATTTGCAAATGCCTTTTCTATGACTCTCTCTTTTATTTTCTCAATTATGTTGATTGTTCTCCTTTGCATTTCTCAGGTTTTGATGCCACTTTCCTTATATGAAGCCAGGTAGACTATGTATACTGGTAATTTCACTTCACTTAACAAAACCATCAGGATAAATGTATTACACACATCACATCACAGATCTCCTATTCCACATTCTTGTAAATAATGTATTCATGACAGTACTTTCTCAGTGTTAACATTCTGATGTCTATTATTAAACTACATCAGAATTTGAATTTTGAAAAGATACTGTTATTTCTACACACCTTCTCATGCATATTTAATATTCTTCTGAAGTTATAGTTGACATATTTATTAAATTTTATATTAATCTCTATTAGTCATATTGATAGCAGTCATTTTAACTATATGTCATGTAACCTTTCTAAACAGAATTATATCCTGAGATACATAAATGTGATGGTTTGCCTTGTAAATATCTGAAATATAATTAGAGTAATATGGCTGTTAGTGGACCCTTCCTGCTCCAGCTGAATTGAATTCAGTGATTTTAGGACCAACAGAATAGAATATTAAATGAATAAATTTGGTGAATAGCAGTATCTTTTAAAGGTAGAACTAGGAAAAAAGAATAAATTATGTTAAAATGCCCTATTTTGTATGTCTAAAATGGTCTTGGTAGAATCCAATAAATTTTTCAATTTATCATTGAACTTCATCATGGAAGAATGAACATTCATGAGACAAGATTGTCTTGAGAAATTGCTTCTACTCTAGCTAGTTATCTGGGTTTGAAAGAACTATTGTGAGGCTAAGTGTTATGGTTCTACAATACCCTTCTTTGCTTGGAGCTAATTTTAGCTAATCAACTAAGAGCATTTTCTAAAATCATTTTGGAATTTAAAATATATCCCTTTTTAAAACTTTTGTGGAAAGCTACCTAAGATAATGATTTTATGATTCAGTTCAATGCAGTAGCTGTTAAAACTCAGCTATTTTTATTTATAAAGTTCACTTCTCTAGTACATCTTTTAAAATCATCATTTTTAAGATCCACACTACCTACTGTTTAAATTTTTGTTGTGTGTAACAAATTGGTAAGCTATTTTAGAAACATATAGAAATCAAGCATTTGTTTTAAAGAGCAAACTGTAGTTGCTTAAAGAATTTGTTATTTAAATGTAGGTGTTCATTCTCTTTCAATAAGTACTCTTTATGCTAATGTCATCAGAATTTTGGATAAAATATCTTTCTTCAACTAAATGGATTCTTTACTTACAGGAAAATGGTTTTCCCATAAAGATTACTGAGCTCATAATTCTAACCCTGAATAGTTTTATTAATACATCTTAATATCCAAACAGGGGAAATAATTTTACAGTACAAAAATAAAAAAGAGTATAGACTCGGCCTTAAGCTCCACACGTCATATCCCTCAGGAGCATGGGGGGAATTGAAGGAGCCAAAACTTCTGTTCTCACACGCTCAGCCAAGGGCTTATTCACATAACCCAGGCTTAGCACCAGGACTCCTCTACAGCTAATAACATTAATGTCTCTCTGGCTGACTCGTTGTGTGTCTGTTGTTTGAAACCTACTGTCTCCTACTCACTTTCTACTAACTTTCCCTTTTAATTCTCTCCCTCTCTTTCTGAATCAGGTGTCTTCTGAAACATTCCCAGTCTTTTCTGGACTTTTCTACAGCTTCTTTATACCTGAACTCTTAAAGAATATGTGTTTCCTAGTTTCTGACAGTACAAAGATTGTTTTCAGGGGAACATAACTGTAAGTATGACTGGAAATGCTTACTAATTATTTCCACGTTAAAAAATGCCACACGAGCTCTGGCTGGCGTGGCTCAGTGGATTGAGCACCAGCCTGCAAAACAAAGGGTCACTGGTTCAATTCCCAGTGAATGGCACATGCCTGGGTTGCAGGCCAGGTCCCCAGCTGAGGACGTGCAAGATGCAACCACACGTTGATGTTTCTCTCCCTGTCTTCCTCCCTTCTCCTCTCTAAAAATAATTAAATAAATCTTTAAAAAAATAAAGTAAAATTTTTTTAAAAAAGCTACACGAGGTTCCTGGTAAGAGCACACTCTATAGTAATCTTGTAATCTCTTTAAAATCATCCAAGATAGGCCCTCTCTTTGTTTCTTGAAGGTTTACCCCCCTTTTTCCCTTGATGCAAACTTACTGGGCTTTCTAATTAAAATGTTTGAGTATTACCCAATATTTCACATCAGTTAGTTTGTAACAGCTCATGCTCTGAAGTCAATGGTCTTTGAGTAAACCTTCCCCAGTTACATTTATGATTTAACCACAGATGTTTCTTTTTTTCTTTCTTTCTTATTTAGAAACCTTATGCTTGTCAAATTCCAGGATGCACCAAGCGCTACACAGACCCAAGCTCCCTAAGAAAGCATGTGAAGGCACATTCTTCCAAAGATCAACAAGCAAGGAAAAAGGTAATTTTAAAAAAGAAGTTACCCGGCCAGAAACAGCATTTGAATTCTTTCAGTACCAGGCACTACTGCAGGGCATTGGGAATTCTTATACTTCTCAAGGTGTAATATGTTTTAGACTCTTTGATGGGAGAAGTCTTCCATTAAATACAGGCATACTTGTTTTATTGCACTTTATTGCTCTTCCCAGATGATTTTTTTATAGGACCCTCCACCAGCAAAATGATTGACGCCCTGAAGGCTCAAATGATGGTTAGTATTATTTAGCAATAAAGTATTTTTAATTGAGGTATGTACATTGTTTTTTCAGACATAATGCTACTGCACACTTAATAAACTATAGTATAGTATAAACATAAATTTTATATGCATTAAGAAACCAAAAAATTCCTGTGACTCACTTTATGCAATATTCGCTTTAGTGCAGTGCTCTGGGACCAAACCTGAAATGTCTCTGAGGTATGCCTGTCATAGCAAGGCTATGGTTTGCGTAGCTGATATAGCTAGATATGAATTTCTGAGGAAGGCTTGTACAACAGGAATCAGAGAAAATTAAGTGTAAGTCAGCTAAACTGGAAAATAACAAAAGGCTTTTATGGAAGTTAAGTCCAAATAACCAGAAAATTCAATTGGGAAAACAGCACAACAGAAATCCTTTCTGGAGATAAGTGTCTTTTGATAAAATATCAATTGGCTAAAATTTTAGCTCTGATCAAGAAAGTAGGGGAATCTCTAGGATGAGTAAGAATAGAAGCATTCCTCCCTTTAAGCTTAGAAAAAAATTTTCTTAATATTTCCTGTGTATGAAAATCTGAGAAAGGAACTGAACCTAAAATTACTTTGACATCAATGAGGGATTAATGCATCTTTCAAAGTTTATAGAAATCATAGTATCTAAGACTTGAAAGAAACATTAATGATCAACCAGCCAACCCCCCTGACTTGATCTCCTGACCTCATAAGATCCTAGCAAGTGGTTGGCTATGCTATGCTCCAACAAAGAGATGAGGAACTCACCACCTTACAAGGCATTTCCTAATAATTGGTTTGCAAACTTTTGGACCAACACGTCTCTTCTGACTATAGCAGAAAATATGCTGACATGACCCTAGCTATTTGAGTATTTTATCTGTGTTCAGATGGGTACCTGCTTTAAGAGCCCTTCATGACAAATTTAAGGGAAGTTTGAGACAACTTATTTCAAGTGATTGAACCTCATGGCCATGGTTTTCAAGTCCCTATGACTTCTAGCTAACTAGAATCTTGTATTCTTTCATGGTTTATAGGGATTTAACACTTTTGTGTTGAGAGATGCTCTGTAGTCTTTTTGTTACATGAACTTCTTCTTCCTTGAGAGGTATAAGCACAAAAGTGGGTAAGGGCTTATATATATGGAAATAATTTGGCCTCTTCCCTGTGAGTTAGAAAAATGCCCAGTTAGAAGGATGTGATAGGTATTCTTAATTGTATACAAACCCACTCTTGTAAGTTAATTGTTAAAATCTTTCGTATTTTCCTCTATAAATATAGCTAAGTCTCTTTAACTAGAATCCCAGTAAATTGATAACAGATGATCATTATTAACAGACAATATATTCAACAATAATAAATGATCATTTGACTATTTGGCTATGTTCTCTCATTTTAAAAGAGCAAAGGAACTGCTAAGTGAATTATAATATAAATAAAGTTGTAAGGAGATGTTTAATACAATATTCTTTAAAAAAACACCATTGTTGCATACTCTTAATATTCAACAGGACTGCTGTCTAATGGTTTCTGTCATTATCTGTGTATATCTCATAAACCTGAAGAGATAAATTATGTTTGGTAAAAAAACAAAATAATGTCTTCCTGAGAGTCTCCCCCCTAAATATGACCATCCTCCAGGTCATATTTAGGCTTTTGGCAAATCTATCATAAGATTGGAGAGCACCTTTATAGATAGAAACAGTTGTCATGGACATGACAGAATGTAAGTCCCATGTCTAAACAAACAAGCTACAATATGATATTGACAGTAGGCATGAAAACATAATGTGTATTTGCATGACTTGTTAATGGTTTTTATTGTCGAAACATAGTGTATTTCTTCCTCTATGCAAAGGAAGAGTATTTTGATTGTGTGAAAGGTTCTCAAAGCACTGATTTAAAAAATAAATCAGATTTTGAGATTTAAAAAAATATAAATTAATAGAGTAGTTGCAGACAACTTTCAACAGGCAATTAGATAAAAAGGAGCAATAATATAATCTAATGTCAAGCATTCAGCATTCTCTTAATTGTATCTTATGTAAAATAAGGTTTCATCTCTCCAATGATTGAGCTTTTGATATTCATTCTCTTTTCTGCGAACCGCTGAATTGGATTTGGCTGACTTTCATTGCCTGGTCCTTAGTGACAAGTTTACTGTGTGTACTTTCTGAATTTTAACCTGTCTTTTTAATCTGAAGATTTTAAAAATCCCTTATAGATCCATGATGGACTAATTTATGGAAATTAAAATGATGGGACAGTTGTTCCATCCAATAGAAAGAGGAAATGTCACTCCCAGGAGAAGCAGCGCTAATAAACCTGAAATCAAGTCAGTCCACATTTTCAAACCTTGTGCTGGTACACCGGTGTGTAATATTTATCCTGGTACAATGTTGTTACTGGACCTTGGAGAGATTCTAATTGCTAACTCACATCAGGGTTTGGTATCTGAAATATTTCCTGGCAGCAATAATAAAAAAAAGTAAGAAACAATAAACCTTTTAAGGCAGAATTAAGATTATTTACGACTTTAATTAAAAATTGAAAACTGGCATCATTTCAAAAAAGCCTTTACAAAAATGTGAATTCATCAAAAATAACCATAAAAATTCCAAGGTGATAAAGGCACAGTGGAGTAATGGTCCCAGCCCTAGGGAATTGTTTTGCTGAAAAGAATAAAACCCTTTTCTGTCACACCCTGTTAGTCATGGACTCATTTAATATACCCTGCCTGCCTCTAATCCTTTTTTTAACCCCTCATCCCCCCCAGACACTAAATGACATTATTTTGGTCTTAACATTGCCGGCTTTATGAGGCCCTACTCTGAAATCAGGGCCAGCGACAAGCCACCTTCAGCTGTAAGAGAAATGTTTATTAAGAGGGGCAGGGATCTCATAAGCAATGCCCTGGCTGTGGGCACATGGCCCTTTCCCACACCTGTTGGGTCCTACTAAAATCCAAGAACCTGAAGTCTCAGCTAAATATTGTTTAAGCTGTAAGAAGAAAGAAGAAGGAAAAAAAAAACATTTGTACAAAGAAATTGGGATAATTTGGCTCATTGCATGCAAAGAGTAACTTTTCTCTTTGTCTAATGCATGCACGCACACACACCCACACACCCCATCCGCCGAGGTATAGGCTTCTTCCATGGAATGTGCTTTGCAGACCCTGAGTTCATTAAATAGAGGGCTACACAGATAAATGAGTAGCAAAATATTCAAGCCACCAGCTCTGGTCTCCAGTAAGCACAGAATCTAGCCTGCGGAGCAAAAGACAGAATCTGTCCTTCAATTCTGTCTCATAATGTGTGGTGAAATAAGAGAAAATGAAGACAATAAGCCACTTGGTATTTTCTTCAAGGCTGTGAACTTTATCAGAATTTTTCATTTTCGCCTTGGAAGCACCATGAGCAGGAGGGTTTCCTTCAACTCTGGCCTGTTATCAAAATGGACTTTCTTAAAAGTGAATGCAAAGAATGCTGGGCCAAAAGGTAGAGACGGCAGGTATCTTTCGTCCATTTCCCCCTTCCTCGAGGATTCCAGACTTTGGGTTGGATTTGTTAAATCCTTGTTAAACATTCACCTTTGACCATTGGTGGTTGATTACTTTCAATTTTGGGACCTCAAGACAAGCTGTTATAAACCAAGCACAGTTTTTGAAATGTGTGTGAATGCAACATGTATTTATACTTCCTACTTAGAGATCGATATAGCTTTCTGGTTAAAATAGAGTGGCCTATTTAATGCAACTCTGTTCGTGTAGAAGTGGGAATTCTTTCAAGTCTGTTCTGAGCCATATATACTAAAAACTGTAAACAATTTCATTAAGTACCACATAGGTTCACTTTGCTTTGTGCAGTTGTTGGAATCTTAAAAAGTAATGGAAAAATATATAGGTTTTCCTAAATGGAAGCATGTATTGGAAGAGTCAGTGAGGCTTACTTTTCTATCAGTTGTTTTCTGTTATCACTTCCATGGTGGACGGCATGCACAAACGTTGCATAATTAGAAGCCTTCACAGATTTTATCAGTTCCCTTCCTTCCTTCTTTCTCTGCTCAGGAATAAACTAAAACCATTCCAAATTCTAAGGGAATGTCAGTAATAGGCGTATATCATAGACATATCATTTCAAGGTGAACTAGCTTCCCCTCACATTTAAGAGATCATATTGGAATTTGAGTAAGAGTTATGCTTTTGCAAGAATGATGTTAAAACGGCATTAATATGTTTGTCTTTTGTTAAGTGAGTCACTTACTAACTTCTGTACTTGTTAACAATTGTTGGTTACAAATTATTTGAACCACACCTCAAAACGATGATGGTGAGACCCACTACCTTCCTGAATGTCCTGATGCCTCAGTTAAGGGTAACTGATTTCAGGAGAAGCTCTGGGTATGCTTTTGTAAAGCAAATATTTTTTGGTTCAAAATAGTAATGCTAACTAATAATTAAATTTAAATTTAAATAAAACCCTCAAATTAACCCTAGCTCTATAGTATTGAATTGGAGTTTAAAACAGTTGTCTAGAGGCTTCTATTTTAAGCAGATCCACTATAAAATCAGCTATGCTTTTGAGAGCATTTTGATGCTTCATGGTGATTTGAGTTGTTTAAAAGGAACTGAGAACTCGTATTTGGATGTGGGAAGGTGGTAGGGTAGGGACAGTTGTCCATGAGAGTCAGTAGTGAGAAAAAAGCTTCTGTTCGTTTCTGGAGAGATCAGAGATGCTGGCTTCAGCCTTGCAAAT